TGAGCTTCCACCTCCTACCAGACAGTGATGCCCTTCTGCAAAGATGAGCCCCAAGCTCAGTGGGAAGCCAGGCACAGGAAAGGCACAACAGGAGGGCCCCATAGTGCAGGGTTGGCAGTACACGCTGGGGAAAAGGGCCTATGAGTCCAGATTCAGAGCCCCTTCCACTGCCTGCTCCAGGTGGAGACACTCAGCCCCTTTCCACAGCCTGGGAGGAGTCTGCTGGAAGGGAGTCTGACGCCCACAGGACAGCTCAGCATTTGAGGTGACATCCATGGGATGCCTGTCCCATGAATACCATGTGACTGGCATCTCAGGAGGTGTATGTCCCTGAGAGGTATCCCCTGGTCCAAAGATACTGTGCTTCTGGGTCACCATGAGGGCTTCCTTCTCTTCTGCCCAGGTAAGTGATATGAAGCCATAGTCTTCCATCTTGTCCTCCCCCAGTGGGCACAGGGCTTGGCCACTCACTGCCCAAAGCCCCACAATATACAACAATGTGGCTAAAGAGACCCAGCTCCCTCAGAGCCTGGCTGCAGGCTCTTATGAGGAAGTCAGCCACACAGAGCAGCCTGGTGAAGAAGCTCACTCTTGCAGAGCCTGGCAACAGCCCCTCCTGGGGAAGTCAGCCATGGAGGGCAGCCTGGTGAAGAAGCTCTGCTAGGAGAATCTCCTCTCCCAGCATGGCTTCCAGAGGGGAAACACGAGGACTGGGAATTGGGTGGGATCCTGCCCATCCTCTGCAGCATCACAGGATGAGCAGAGTTGACCTTTATCCCTTCCTCGCCACACACACCTGACACTCACAGCCTGGTGATGGCACTTTACGGCTCTCCAGGAGGTATGGGTGACGTGCCGGCTCATTCAGCTTCATCTCCAGTCCACTGTTTCAGACCTGGCTCAACTGCTCCCTTGCAGCCTCCCTGATGCTGCCCCCCACCCCAGTCAGAGCTAAAATGATGTCCCTCTGTGCTACCAGTAGACCCTGTCCAGCCCTTGGGAATGACATTCACTGCCCTGCTTTGAAATGTTTGGCTTACACCTATCCAGAGAACAGCCTTTCCTGAACCACACTTTCATGCACTGCTGCCAGCCTGCCTGGTGAGAGCTTGGAGGAGGCAGCCCTCCAGAGGCCCCAGAGAAACTTCCTTCACTAAGAGCGAGCCCTGGAGAAGCCCCCTTCACTGCAGAGATAGCGTTGTGAAAACTCTCCCTGGTTTTAGAGACAGACCTTGAAAAACCGTCCTTTTTTTATAGAAACAGCCCTCAGTAAGCCCTCGTTCATTGCAGGACAGTCCTTGAGGAAGGCCGCTGCGTTTTAGAGACAGCCCTGAGACAGCCTGCTTCACCGAAGCGAGAGCCTGTGAAAAGCCCGCTCAGAACAGACATGACCCTTGAAAAGCCCCTCAGATTGTACAGAGAACCGTGAGAAATCCTCCTTCACTGTAGCGATATCACTTGAGAGACCCGCTTTCATTTTCTACAAACAGCCCTGAATTGACTGTTTCCTCCCTTGGTGTCTGTCCCCTCCCTGATGTTGCGTCAGGAAAGCTGGTCTTCTCAGAAACTGGCTTGTTCTTCACTTGAGAACATTATTAATCTTTCAATGCAAAATGTACTTTTGCATGACTAACTGGAAGCGCAGAACAAATTTAGGGTCTATGCCTAGAAAATATACGGGACTTTCTGATGCACATTTTGTTACTAATATTTTCCCAGCTGTGTTGTATTTTCCTACTTTAATTTTCCTTTCATCCCAGTTTCTCATTTATTTTATTTTATTTTATTTTATTTTATTTTATTTTATTTTATTTTGAGACAGAGTCTCGCTTTGTTGTCCAGGCTAGAGTGAGTGCCGTGGCGTCAGCCTTGCTCACAGCAACCTCAAACTCCTGGGCTCGAGCAATCCTCCTGCCTCAGCCTCCCAAGTAGCTGGGACTACAGGCATTCGCCACCATGCCTTGCTAATTTTTTCTATATATATATTAGTTGGCCAATTAATTTCTTTCTATTTATAGTAGAGACGGGGTCTCGCTCTTGCTCAGGCTGGTTTTGAACTCCTGACCTTGAGCAATCCGCCCGCCTCGGCCTCCCAGAGAACTAGGATTACAGGCGTGAGCCACTGCGCCCGGCCACATTTATTTTATTTTTGATTCTGTTTTATTACAAGTATATCTGCAAGTTGATTCAAATCACCCTGTTTCATTTAGTCTTTGAATAAGGCAGGTGATAGATGAAGGAGAACTGATAGATACACACACTTGTGCGCGAGGGTCTCTTCCACTGTGCTGCGGTCTCTTTGCATACACTCAGGACTCTGTCCCTAGCTCCCAGAACAGAGCAGAGACTCAGACGGGCACTGTGCTAAAATTTTCCAGCAGTAGCTCATTAATTTAATCTGTACAACAACTCTGCAAGGTAAGTGATGCAGCTCCACTGGACAGATGAGGAAACTGAGGTTTAAGGTCCGACACTTAGTAGGTGGCCCAGTTGGGATTTTAATCCACCACTGTTTGGCTCCACTGCCCTTCCTTATTCTACTTCACCGCTCTCCTTACTCTGATAGGCACGACTCTCTGTTGCTGCACTGTCCAATATGGTAGCCACTAGCCACATGAGCTATTTAAATTTAATTTAAGTTGAACTTAAAACTCAGACCTTGAGTTGCATTAACTACACTTCAAGTGCTCAATAGACACATGTGGTTAGTGGCTACTGTTTAGGGCAGTGCAGAAGAGAACATTTCTGTCATCATGGAACATTCTAGAGCATCTCCTACCACTTCCCTACACCTGCACTTGGTTCCTGTTGGGCTCCAACACTGCCCCAGCTGGACTGATGCTTCCTTCTGTCTGCATCTTTGTGGACACCATGCCCTTCGCCTGGAACATCCCTGTTCCTCACCACAGCACTGGAGCTATCCTCTCCTTGACAGCCTGCCAGGTCCTGTCCGTGCCCCAACCTGTCCAATTGCTTCCTCTGCCCACCAGATGCCCTGAGGTCTGTTCCCCTGGGGTGCACTGGTCACTTTTCCTTTACACATCCCCCCCCCCCGCCGCCGGCACTGGAGGAGCACTACAAGTGCTGCCAGATTAACTGAGGAGGTAGACAGCAGGGTCCAAAATGACACTGGGTTTGAAAACTTGACTTCATTCCCTGCTTGACTTTTGCCACTAGCTTCATTCAGCATTTATGTGTCAAGTGTCCATTCTCTGCTGAGGCCTGGGTGTGTGCAAGGGGCAGAGAACCCCCAAGGAGACTGATCTCATGCCCCCAAGGAGCTCATAGTCCATTGACCTAGGTCAAGTAATTTACCCTTCTTAATCTCAATGTCCTCTTCTGTGAAAACTGTACTATAATTCCTGTTCTTGCTGAACAGCTTGTTGTGCAGACTGAGAATGGGGAAGCCAGAGCCATTTAAAGACATTGGGTAAGTGAAGCTGAAAGGAGGCGGTGGGTTGGGCTGAGCCCCTGCGCTAGCCAACAGCCCAGACCAAAATGGCATCACTTGCCCTAAAGCTCATGCCGCCAAGTCAGAAGTAAGATCTTTTTCTGACTTTGTGATAATCCTTAGTGAGAGAAGAGCTAAAGCCCCAAACAGGCCAGCTTTTGCTGGCATGATAAGGAAATCTCCTCTGTTTTAACCTTTACAAGGAAAGAAACTTTGAAACAATCCACTTTTTGTGTCTGCTTTTCTCAGCCCCATTCTGTCTTTAAAACCAATCTTTTCTGCGCGGCTTCTCCCCCTTTGTTCTCAAAAAAAAAAAAAAAAAAAAAAGACAAGAAAAAAGAATCAGGATGCCTGATTCTAGAATTGCAAATAAAAGCCAATTACGATCTTTAAATTTGTTGAAATTTTATCATTTGACACATGTAAAGCATGGTGTTATGTCAATGCACAGTCGTCCCTGCTCTGCCACCTCTCTCTCCACAGTGCAGAGGGTGCGGGAGACCTGTGGAGCATTCTCTCAGAGGTGGCGCCTGCAGAGCACAGGCCTGGGGGGTGGGGAAGCGTCCTGCCCAAGGAGCTGTTGACTGAGTGGTGCTTAACGTAGATGCGCTGGGGGAGTGTACTCCAGAGTTTTGGTTTTCTCCAAACTAAAATCCTGGACAGAGTTCAGAGGTCTTATGGATTAGAACGAAATTCAAGTCCAGAGTTACGAGGTGGAGTCTGAGGGATAGGCCTAGTAGTGGGGAGCACAGGTACCCAGTTTAGGAGATTTAGATTGGGGCCCCACACCTGCCAGCCCTCTGACCTTGACCAGCCCCTTCTGACCTCTGTGTCTCAGGTTTCTCCTCTGTTAGTTGGGGGTGGGACGCCCACCATGCTGACAGCTCACGGGAGGCAGCCCACGAACACCCACGGCGGCGCTATCCCTCTCCTCAGTCACCTCTTCCCCCAGCTCAACAGCCCCCCAGGAGGCTTTGAGGCTAGGCAGGAGTTACTAGACACAACTGGCCAGGGCAGGTGGCTAAGACAGATCACCCTGGCTTTGGAGTCAAATCGGCTCTGCTTCTCCCCGTGGGCACCTTCATGTCCCTGATCCTCAGTCTCTGCGTCCACAGAATGGAGGCAGTGCCACCACAGTGCTGCGAGGGCACAGCGGGATGCCTCGTATGGCACAGCTGATGTCTGGCAGGAGCCTGGTCATGGCTGCCCAGGCTGCCCTGACACCCCACGCCTCTGCGGTGAGGCCCTCCAGCTGTGAGGAGGTTGCTGGGCGAGGGGCAGGCCTGGCACCTGCGCTCCCCTCACCAGGCTGTCTGCCCGGCTACAGCCAAGGGCTGGGACAGCTCCTCCTCCTCCTCTTCCTCGGCCCCCGGGTTGGCCCTGCAGCCCAGTAGCCCAAGTCCTGGGCAGAAGTTTCTGGCTTCTAGGCTCCTGAAGAGCATTTCCAGCTCTCTGCCCCCTGGGCCTGTCCCAGCTGGCTTCCAGGCCTGTGCCTCCTGCCCAGCGACCCCTCCTTCCAGCTGGCAGACGCACCCCTAGGCTCCCTTACCTTGTCAGGATGCAGTCTGGCTGGCTCTCTGCCCCTTTACCTGGGGCACCCTGACAGCCTGGAAAAGAGGCAGTGCCAGGGCTCCGGTAAGGACAGAGGAAGAGGCAGAAGGGCCCCAAGAGGAAATGACCAAGTGCTCTGGGCCCACGTAATTTATTACAGGACTTTGTCCTCGGGCTCCAGGCACATCCACTCCCACACGCCTCCTGCAGCCCCAGCGGCAGAGCCTCATGACACGGTCTGCCCTTTGACTCAGGCCCCTCGGTGGAGCAGGGGAGCGTGGCCCAGGGCTGCCAGTGTCTGCACTATGCACACCTGCCCTGGCCACCAGCCAGGTCCCATGGTGACAATCGTCTGATCATCCAGGGGCCTCGGCATCTTCCTGGGTGTCATGGGGACTCTGGGGAAGCACACGGCGGGGGCTCCGCTCCTAAGCACCCTGAGTTCTCACGGCGGGTGGGGAGGTGGTACAATATGAAACACAGTATGTTTGGTCTTTGTCCCTGGTTCCTGTCAGAGCTCCTAAAACCTTACAATTTCCTGAGTGATAGGCACATCTTTTGTTCTTCAAAATGGGCCCCTTTGACAGCCTGGGGCCCCTAGCTAGTCTCAGGATGGGGCCAGTCCCGAAAGACCTCGTGAATGGAGGGTTGGAGCTTTCAGCCCCACCTACCAATCTCTGGGAAGGTAAAACTCTTGAACAAGATGATGAGCTTCTAGAAAGCTGAACACGTGGAGATTCCTGGAGGGAGGCGCCCTGGGAAGGCATGGAAGCCCCATACCCCTCCCCATACTCACGCTGTGCATCTCTTCTTCTGCGTCCTTTGTAACGTCCTTGATAATAACCTAGAAAGCTTAATTATTCCGCTAAGTTATATGAGCTATTCTAGCGAATTAATTGAACAGGAACCCCCACAACCAGCCAGGGAGAGCCACCATGTGGGGCCACAGCCTGGGGGCAGACCCGGCAGGAGGGGACCAGCTCACCTGGCCCACCACTGAGTGGCGTGCATCAAGGGGGAAGGAATGCCTGCCACGGCGGCCACCATCTTGACACCATGGGAGGGGACAGGGAGGGCACTGCCTGAACTAGCTCTTCAGTTCCACACCCCGTGAATTATGACTCGGGCTTCGAAATGGTCTCTCCTGGCAACGGACTCAATTTGGGCTAGAGGGAACCCATAGCTGGGGGGCAATTCGCAACAATATCAGATAGGTGGGGTTGAATGTGCAAAAGCAGCTGAAGGGTCCTTTGAGACAGTCAAAAGGAATGGGCAAAAAAGCCTCCCAGACTGACTGACTATAAAGGAAAAGGACCTTGAAAAGGTACATTGACCAAAATTGTAAAGGACTCGGGTGCAGGAAGTCTCCAGGAAAACAAATCGTTTTTTAAGTCCAGGGCTCAGATGGTGAAGGGGGTCCCAGAACCCCCTGCCTCCAAATAGTCACAGGAGCCCTCGGCGAAATTGACAGTGGGGATTTGATTGACACACAAACGGTCCAGGGGCGCCCCTTCCCCTGGCTGCCACCCCAATCCCTGACACCAGCCACGCCTGGTGCTCTGTGAGTCAGATAGAGGTGGCGGGGGAGGGGCCAGGTGGCAGTGAGACAGCCATAAATAAGTGGTGACTGAGAAACTCATCACAGCAGGCCCAGGAGGCAGACCTGGGTGGGCAGCAGGGGTTGTTTCAGAAGCAGCAGGACCTCACCTTGGGGGGGACTGCCACCAAGCTCTGCTGGATGAATACCAGGGCCTGGCGAAGTCTACGGGAAACTGCCATTGCGCTTTGAAGTTCAGGCCCCACCAAGCCTGCACATGGTTCAGTCCAGGGATGAGGCCGAGCAGGTAGAGAAGGGCATGCTGGTGACAGACGACCGGGCAGACAGCTACAGAGATGCCGGGCGGCTCCTCCTCCGACAGCAGGTTGTCAGCAGGCACCCTATGGTCAGCAGGACCCAGGAGCACACTCCACGGAACCTTGGACATTTATTTCACTAGGGTGATAATGAGCCCTCCTTTGTAGTGGAGGTAACCCAACAAGTAAGCAAAGCCCTGCACCTAGAATAGAAATTACATACATCCTAGAATTGATACAAGAAACCTGCCTAAAGTGAGACAAAGTGTTGCACTTGCCCTCCTCTGGATAACGGTGGCCCTTTAGAAATAGGCTTAAGTTAATCCCCTAAAAATAGCTTATGAGAGACCCTTCTTAGCACCCCAAGATAAGCACAGTAATATAAGTATATAAGAATAGAGTAAAACAACACATCAAACGAGTGGGTCAGGTGCTACCCACTATGCATGAATTTGCCTCTTCCAGGTCCCTGCCCCAGTTGGAAGCAGAGAAGTGGAAAGGACCCTATGAAGAGCCTCTAACAATTCACACCTCTTTAAAATTGTCAGAAGTGCAACCTTGGGTCCATGATACCAGAGTAAAGAGGTGGGACCCCAATGGAGGGGCCAGCTTTAGGGGATCTAAAGTATCTGATTGAGAAAAAGGAAAAAAAAAAGAAAATGTTGATATTTTTGCTAATCTCTTTTGGTTCTTTCTGTAGGATAGAGAGACAACTCCTCAGTGAAGATTTCCCAGGGCTATCACTTCTTCTGTTGATCTGCCGTGTTATCCTAAACCTTGTTTGGTGCAAGGATTTCTGTACATGATTTCTGAATTTGCAGAAGCCCGTCTCTTGAATTATCTACAGGGTACAACTAACAGCTCTGCACTCAGAGGTCCCCTGTTTCTTTTCTAACCCATCCCTGTATCAGACATTGCATGCAAGGCCACAGTTGGTTTCACCTTGTCAGTCCTCATGGTTATAGTTATTGCTTATGCCCTTTTGCACCTGATAATCTCTACCTTCCATCTACAACATCACTGCAATTCAGCAGGAAGTAGCTCGATGATTATATCACCCCTCCTCCCATAGATATAGAAGGGTAAAATTGACATTGGAGAATATGGAAAAGAGAGAATGGCCTGAAAAAGGGTAAAAATGTTTTCTGTCTCTTCAAAACCCCCTCTCCCTTTTTGAAAACTAAAACCTACATCTTTGCCTCAAGTCAGTGGTCAGGAGGAGCCGGAGACTGTCCTTTGTTCTTTGTTCTCTGTGCCATGGGAGATATGTTCAGGGGAATTGGGGGGGGGGAGGTAAAGAGATTGTCTTAGCCAAAAAGGGGATGAATCAGGGTGGAGGGCACAAGATTGTTTTAGCTAAAGATGGAATGAATCTGGGTGGAGGCCATAAGAGTTTTAGCCTCAAATGGGATGATGGGATTATGGGCTTAATCAGAACCTTTTTTTCTTTTTTTCAGAGGCACGGAGTCTATGGACGGAGAGGATGAGAATGAGGAGTTCTAGGGGGTCCCGGCACCCGCAGGACCTGGCCTCTGGCTCCTCCCCGATTCTGTAACTTGTCCCACTGTTTCCCCACCCCTACAAATACAGCCCATGTCTCAAGCAAAAAAAAAAAAAAAAAAAATTCCAGACCAGCTGAGGCTGGTCTGGAACTCCTGATATCAAGTGACCCTCTCACCTCAGCCTCCCATGTGCTAGGATTACAGGGGTAAGCCACTGTGCTGGGCCAGTCAGAACCTTTACAAGCTCTGTACTTCTGCTCAGAAGCAGAATGTTGGTACTTTAAGATGGGAGTCTGTCAGCCTTCTCATTTGCTGACAAATTAATAAATTTTTCTTTCCTTCTTCCCAAACCACTTGTCCTCGTTCTTCTGATGTGGCTTTGGGGACAAGTACCAAACTTTCTCGGTAACACTTTCTGTGAGTCCACAGAGTCCCCAGGTCCCTACTAAATGCTCCTTTTGTGGAGATGGATCAAAGGAGTTTCTGTACCTTACCACCAAATAGCCCATGCCAAAAATAGGTAATCATGCTGGGAGATGACTTGAAGGACCATCTGGAGGAAGCTGTGTGCTCTGAGCCTTTCAGCCAGCCCTCTCCCCCTGCCTGCTCTTCCCAGCACTGCAATCCAAGTTCTGCTCTGCTCCTGCCTCCTAAAATCCCATCCACTTTCTGGGCTAGTATTTGCTTTTTGGGGCTCCATGTTGCTCATGGTTTCTCTTGTTTAGGAAGATAGCATTTAGCTCCTCCAGGTTTGGTGCTGCCACTCCCGGCTGTTCCCAGAGATGGCAAGCCCCTTGCTCTGGGACTGCAGACTGAGCCCTCTGTCACCTCTTCCACTGCCCCCATACAGGAAAATCACAAGGCAGAACATCTGTGTAGAACAAGACAATCTATAAGATGTTCCTGTCTGGAGCCTGTCTTATGCAAAATTTGATGGAAACACATTTTAGATATCTACATACTAGTCTCTCTCTATTTTTTTTTTTTTTTGAGACAGAGTCTCGCTTTGTTGCCCAGGCTAGAGTGAGTGCCGTGGCGTCAGCCTAGCTCACAGCAACCTCAAACTCCTGGGCTCAGCGATCCTCCTGCCTCAGCCTCCTGAGGAGCTGGAACTACAGGCATGCGCCACCATGCCTGGCTAATTTTTTCTATATATTTTTAGTTGTCTGGCTAATTTCCTTCTATTTATAGTAGAGACGGGGTCTCGCTCTTGCTCAGGCTGGTTTCAAACTCCTGACCTGGAGCATTCGCTCGCCTCAGCCTCCCAGGGTGCTAGGATTATAGGCTTGAGCCACCGCGCCCGGCCTCTCTCTATTTTTTTATGTTCAGAATTATATCACAAGCACTTTTTCACACTGTACCAAACTTTCACCACCAGTCTTTAAAGACAGCATGATGATGCGTCATACAGGTGCTCCTTCATTCGTGTACCTGCCCCCCCCAGATGGACATAGGAGGTGTCCAATCCTTCCCTATCATATACAACACTGCAATGAACAAATCTGTGCTCACAGCTTTGTTGGTATTTTGTCATTACAGAAGATTCCAGAAGGGACCTTATTCAAGCAAGAGACAAGAATGTTTAGTTGCTAACCTTTCCCAAGTGGCATGCTAGTCCTCCCTCCCAGACGAAGGTGTTCACATGATTGTGAGGACCTGGTCTGATGGTCATGCAAATTGGCTGAGTGCAAAGAGGTACAGCCTGAGGGACAGCCTGAGCCTCAGCTTTTTCGCACCTGAGGGACCCCGGC